GTTTGATTCCTCAAGTTGATAAAACTTGTTACGGAAGATTATTTATGTAAAATATCTGTTTTGGCTATTATTTGCACTGCAGTTCTCATTGAAGAAATAATATTGCATGGAATGCTACTTTAGTTTATAGATGCTAGTATAATTATTCCCACACTTCTATAATCACCAACCAACATGTTTTGGTCAGGATTGAGAAGAATGCTGGCAAGGTGAGCGACATTGAGGGTCCTACAGTTAAGGCTCCACTGTAAGTGTGCCTCTAATAAATACAACATATCATTTTTCCATGTTACGTACATTGGTCTCTACAGAGCTCCTTAAAATGAAAAACGAGAATGTGTGGTTATTATTGCAATACCTCCATCATAATAGTCACTAGCTAATGAGCATATTGGTTTGATTGTCAGTTTGCTTAGGGTTAAGGAGGATGCTAGTGAGGTGCGCAACAGGGAGTTCAAAGCACCGACACTCGGTCAGTCACTTCCTACATGTAACCCAACTCAAAGGTATTGCATTGCCCTCTTTTTTGCACAGCTCGAACCGTCGGTCAATTATTGATTGATTTTTATTACTTCTAGCTTTATCGTGTTGTTTGTTACTCCCTCCATCCCAAAATGTAAAACGTTTGCATTTTGGGACAGAGGGAGTACCATTTACTGTTTAGAAGCCTCAAAGCAATAAAAATGGACCTATAACATTCTTTCATGAGTTTTAATATCATTCAAATATGCTTAATTCATCATCAACTTCACAAAAAATTGCCGAAGAAGATTATTTATGTCAAGTAATGATAGCTTTGGAATAACCATTGGTTGTGTGGACATTTTGTTGCTCTAGGTCCAAGGAATGGTGTGATTATTATGCTGCCGACGACAGTGAGACTCGCTCAGAAATTTTTGAGGAGATGCTCAAAGATGTATCAGAGCCTTGGTATGTATGATGATTTTGCTTTTGTTCGTCTCATATTATATTTGTTTTGTAGTTTGTAAGTCTTAAATGCATTTCTGTAGCAAGACGCCTCAAAGTACCACAATTTTACTTATTTATATATACATGGATCAAGTAAGGAAACAACAACAAAACAACATGTCATTAGTGTAGTGTGGCGTATAAACCTAGATGCATGACGAGATAACCACTGCATTGAAGATAGCCAGACACCATGGCCGCAGGAGGCTGTACAGACATATACTAGCTTAGAGAATATGTGCGGCAATATATTTGTTCTTTCTTGCTTGATTCAAAGTTTCAAACATAGATCGGGGAATCACACCTGAGAGGCTGAGATCGTGGAATCACCCCAAAGACAGAGCCACCTACACATTCTCCTCACTCACCCAATCTCTCCCCGTCGCCATCCTCCACTAGACCACCACCCTCCATGCTCTACTTTGTCTCTTCCGTTCCTACCATATCAACTCAGTCACAACCAAGCGCTATGGCTCATGGATGTCTGGAGGTTCCTGTGTCACCGACCCTGGCACCTGCTTCCTGCACATCTTGGAGCTTCCATTTATTTTGATGGAGGATTGGGAGGTGTGAGATTGAGATTTTATTTTTGACAACCAAGGCAGTCTTGCTTGATTATGAAAATCTATATCGTTGTTATTGGCTATGTCCTTCCCCTTCCTAAAATGATGGCATGTGATGGTTCTCTCAAAGTGTAAGTTGGTCTGGGAGAGAGAATTTGATAACCTAGTTTCTCTCACCCGGATAACTTGTTATGTCCATTCCTAAGATACAAACAATGCTAGATTCCTAGGGGTGTCTGTTAGTTCTTGTTGAGTTACAAAAATGTTTATACAATTTTGTTTGTGAAACTCAGTAACTATTACTCCTCCCATTCCACAATTCTAGTAACTACATATTCTAGTAAAACTTAGTAACTATCACGAAACGGAGGGAGTACTACATATTCTAGTAACTATCACTACATATTCCGGATAACTTGATATTTTGTTGGTAACTGTGTATTGGTTATATAACCCAGTAACTGTTACTAGACCAGTTGTTGGTTATTAATCATGTGTTGGATGTATAACCGGTAATTGTTACTCCCTCTGTTTTTAAATACTTGGAAGTTTTAGGTTTGTTCTAAGTCTTATCTTTAAGTTTGACAAAGTTTTACAGAAAATATACCAAGATATACAACGCCAAATTAGCTTCATTAGATTCATCATAGCATATGTTTCCATATTATATATACTTGATGTTGTTGACATTAGCAATCTTTTCTATAAAGTTGGTCAAACTTACATAAGTTTGACTTAGCACAAACCTAGATGAGTAGAGTATTTTGAAATGGAGGGAGTACTAGACAACCTGGTTACTGTTATTAGACAACCCTAAGTGTGTGTAAGTCATCAGGACTCATGATCAATATATTGATCATTTAATGGCATAATTAATTAGAATTTTAGTCGTTGCACTTGCACTTTAGAGAACAATGTATATGTATATGGAGTTCAATGCTATTTAACAAATTTTCAATATGCATGACAAAACGTTTGCTGTATATTGTTTCTTAGGCTCATGTGTGTGGTATTATTCTGCAATTTGTTCATCCTTTGGGTTTTTTCTGATTCAGGGCACAAACATGTCGTGATATACATAAGAACTTGGAAGAACATACATACACCTGTATGGTGGAGGCTATGATTGCAGCTAAACATGGCTTTAGCAACCCGGCCCAGCATAAACTGGATGCTCAAGCATTTTTGGCATCAGAAGGGGCATTTGTATCTCCTGAAGTCCCTGAGTCCTTTGCCTCTCCAAGAGAGAATATAGCGCAGTATGTTCTGATATGATTTTCATATAAAATTTTGAAGCATGCAACAATTTTAATGTATTATTGCAGGGGTGAAGTGTCTACCGAAGAAATCATTAAGAATGGTAAAAAGTGGATGGGTGAGGAGGTCATGCTGGCTTTTGAGAAGTACAAGGAAGGAAAGAGCCAATTCGAAGTACGTGTGGTTTCCTGCTATTTTGTTCTTTTATCTGAAAGCAAGTTTGTTTATAAGGTGCTTTTTCAGGACATGGTGGATTATGGCCTAGATGAGCTTCAACATTAGTGCTTCAGCATGGATAGCGATGACCATACCTTCCATCACTTCAACTTCACCGTTAAGATGAAGAAGTCAGACGGCGATTGGTCATCCACGCCCTTTTTTGTTGAAGTGAAAGAGATCTACGGAAGAAAATATTATTCCTGCTACGAACTAAGTTCATATGATGATGGTATGTGCCCTTACTGTCTTCTCTTTCGTCTTATTAAATATGAATCTTGTTTAGTTTGCTTGCTGCAAAATTACGGTTTTGATCTTTGTTTAGGTCACTGCAACGCATGCAAAAATCAAGGAATGCATGCACTGAAGCACCCTATTTATCTAATGGGGTATGCCAGTGGTCATGCTGATATGGAGTTCTCCTTCATTTATCTTAGTGATGACGAATAATCTGATCTCGAGTGGGTGACAGTATTGGCTTCGATAGCGGGGAGAAGTATGTGGTTTGTTTATGGTTATTACATCTTCTGATCTGCATGTAGTCCAGTAGTGCAGTTGTGAATTATGTTGATATTGGACATGTACTAAGAAGTTCTAAGGAGCGAGTTTTTGCATTGATGACCATGCTTTTCAATGTTTCTATAAAGCAGACTATATTTTTCTTGGAGTAAATTGTCAAACACCACCATAATTATGGTCTCATTTTAAGAAAAACATTATGCTACATGTTTTTGTTGAAAATATCACTGGCATCGTTTCATCGTTGGCCGTGTACCAAAAAATGGAACAAGAAAGGCAGGTGGCTAAACCTTCCACCAGTTACCAATGTAGAATAGCCATTTGTTGCTTCGTTCTCACACGCGTCTGGGTACAACCATGTGTACGGGTATGTGATTCTTAAGACGATGTGTGGTCATGAAGACGATTTGTAGGCACCATAGTCAAACTTTCATCCCTGATTAGCAGAAGATGTGACAAGAAGGGCGGATAGTTAAACCTTGTGTAGATTCCCAACGCGGAAAGCCATAATGGCCTTTTGGCAAGCGAACCCCCAAGGGATGGAATAATGACAGATACTTGCAGTATTTGTCAGCCGGCCTGGCGAAAAAATGAATATGTGCACGGTTGTTTGCGTTGTTTAAAGTTTTCAACACAAGTATTTTAAAATTGGTAGCGTGTGGTGGGCCAACGAATAATTAAGCATGTATGTCGGTTGCTTGGTGATGCTGGTTGGCAGTTGAGCTTTGTAAGCCATGCCATGGTCTTTTCTCTGGACCATGGCTCGGTCTTTTCTCTGGACAATGGCATGGTCTTAGCGGCGTAGAACTACCAGTCTTCTATATGAAGCTAAGCAACTTATGAACATCACGTTTTATAATGACCTCGAAGGTTTTCTGGTCCTTGTATGACTTGTTTATATTGGTCGGCCACGCGCTTCCTCTTACCGGCTTGTTCATGCTCGGCACCTACCCACGACCTGCATGCTGGAAAGGCCAAACACAACACCCCTTAAACCATCCTTAACCAGGACCTTGGGGGTGAGGAAGTATCCGAGCTTGGAATGGGTCCGTAGGAATTAAAAGCACACGAGAACAATTAGACCAAAAAACGTAAATATAAAAATCCTAAGGAAGAAGAAAGATGACAACAGGAGCCAACCTCCAATGTTCATAAATATAAGATGTTCTAATTTTTTTTTGTGAATCAGATGTATATAAACACATTTTAGTGTGTTTAGTCACCCATTTTAGTTCATATGTAGTCCACGTTGAAATACTCAAAACATCTTATATTTGCAAATAAAGGGAGTAGAATACACTGGAACTAGTTGCAGATATTTTTGAAACATTTAGAGTATCTCGAGATTTTTTAGAAACTCTTAAAGTATTTTAAAACAAGTGGAGCTGCTTTGACGCTTCTGCTTATCAGAGTGATGAAAAATAAAAATCTTTAAGCATTCACTCACCACACCAGTCTCTGGCTCTCGGCATCCACATGTCGGACGTCGTCGATCCCCTCGACTCCCTCCCCTCGGCGATCCTCGCCGATGTCCTCGGCCGCGTCGCGGACGCCGGGGACATCGCGGCTTCCCGCCTCGCCTCGCGCGCGCTGCTCGCCGCCTCCTACCACTGCCCCCGCGTCCGCCTCAGCGCGGCCGCCCGCGCGCGCCGCCTCCGCGGGCGCGGGGGCGGGGACGGCGCGACCGCCTTCCGCTTGGCCGCCGCGAACGTCGCCTCGCTCCTCGGGACGCACCTTCGCTCCCTCGCGCTCGACGCGTCCCAAGGGCATGGCTGCCCCGATCAAGCGATTTGGGCGAAGCACGCGGAGTTCGACGAGGCCAACGACCTGCACCTCACCAGCGGCGAGTCCGTGGCGGCGTGGGCGGCCACTGCCGCTGGCCTCGTCCTCCGGGAGGTGGACATCGCCGACTTCTGGCCGCAGTCGTGCTGGCGGAAGGCGGAGGCGCTCCCCGTCATCTCCCGTTTATGTCAGTCTCTCCATCTTATCTCAAAATTAGAAGTACATTTCAGTTGCAAATCCAAATTTGAGCTAAGTTAACCTGTTTATATGTTGTATGATACGCCGAGTTGCTCTAAAAACTGGTTTCTTAGAGATCAGAAAGTTGAGTGAGAAGTGAGAACATGTTGAAGAATTGATTTGCTTGATTAGTAAACTCTGCTTCTGGCTCAATTGTGTAGCTATTTGTGTTGTGTAGAAATAACGCGGGCACTGGGAACAGGAGAATTTTAGTCTTGTATAGTGCATATAATCACGGAGCCGAAAAACTAACCAAATGGTTTAGAAATACGGAAACACTAACGCCCACACGTGTGGAACGTCTCCAACTCGCCCACACGCCTGGATCGTCGTTGGTTGTTTTTTGCACGAATCCTGACACCAAAAGATGGATTTGGTGTGCCACGTAGGACAAGCCCGGTGTGTGGTGTGTAGGTAGTTCGCCCGCACGCTGTTTCTCCCTCGGACGAGACCGGTTGCGAATCGGGGCGTGCGGTGGAACTGCTGTCGCGCCCGCACGCCGCGCACGACTTCTGTTCCCCATCTCCCATGACTGCCCTTTTTCCCACTCTCCCACACCAAGTTGTCATTTGCCATGTTTTCTGCAGGGTACATGGCAACTGCCCTATTTGTGATTGTAAGCAGATGGCAACTCTCTTTACCCCGAACATGTTATTGTTGCCACGTCTGTTTTTGTAGCGCTAAATGGCAACTGTCCAGTGCTAGTGCGTGGCAACTGCCCTATTTGTGATTATAAGCAGATGGCAACTCTCTTTACCCCGAACATGTTATTGTTGACACGTCTGTTTTGTAGCGCTACATGGCAACTGTCTAGTGTTAGTAGGTGGCAACTCCTAAAGATACCACCGTCGCCCACATGCCCGTCTCCTCTCCCACACACCAAAAGCTATCAGTTGCCATGTGTTTTTGCAGGGTACATGGCAACTGCCCTAGTGTGCTTGTAAGCAGATGGCAACTCTCTCTTTTACCCGAACATGTTTTTTGCCATGTTTTTGTAGTGCTACATGGCAACTGTCAAGTGTTAGTAGGTGGCAAATCCTAAAGTTTTCAAATCATGGCAACTGTAGTAGACCAGACCATACATGGCAACAGCTACAGTTGCCCAAAAATGGCATCCGACACTTGACCTGAGATGGCAACTGCAGTTGAGCAACCATGGCAACTGTAGTTGTCAGACATGGCAACTGCAGTTCAGCAACATGGCAACTACAGTTAAACGAACATGGAAGAGGGTTCGGACCATGGCAATCGCGGCGGGACGCGTGGTTACTGCCACGCGGGGCGTGTGGCTCGCAGGTGGGGAGGGGCGAGGGCCGAGACGGGTCGTGCGGGCCATGAGGTCGCTCGCCCGGACGTGCTAGTGCGGGCGATTGCGCCGCACACCGAACGTGCGGGCTGTGGTGGGGTGCGCGCGGACGTGCTCGTGCGGGCGGGCATGTGTCGATGCCACACGGGGCGTGCGGCACATACCCCCTAGATGCCACACGTGTGGCAGTTATCGTCGTCCTAGAAATAAGGAGATTTGGTGGAATCACCTCTCTTGTGCAATATGAGGCGAGCAGTTTATGTTAAGACTGTTGATCATTGATTTGAGTCTTGTAGGCTGTTAGTTTCAGTCAAGGACATTGCTTGATTTTGATGTGACACTGATGTGACACTGGAGTAGTAGATAACATTGGCAGGAATTTAGCTTATTCACATCCATTCCCAGTTTTAACCAGAAAGTAGAACTTGTTTGGTTCGTCGTAGCTGTATGGGAATTCCACTAACTAAGCAAATGTTGCTTGTTTCAGTATCTAGTAAATCATGATGTAATCAGATATATATGCGATTCGCACATTCAAGACGACACCCGCCATACGCACGGTCTTATAATCTGTTTCATTCTACATATTTAACTGTTTAGCTTGACACTGCATGCATCTCAGACTAAATTTTGGCTACGCAGGTCATAATCTTTCAACACTGAGGCTGAGAAAGGCATGGCTATCTGTTGATGGGCTCAGGATAATGCCAAATCTGACTCATCTGGCACTTGAGTCCATTAGATTAGATGACGAGAACCTCAGCACATTGAATGAGTGCTTCCCTTGCCTTCATACTCTCAATCTTATTGGAGTTGGGGGGCTCAAGGACCCCAAGATTCACCTTCCTCAGCTGAAGAATTGCCACTGGGAGGTATCAGATGTTCCACGGTCTTTAGCTATCCATGCCCCTAACTTGGTTTATCTTGAGTTGAAGTGTGTTCGACCAGGAATCCTCATTCTAGATACTCCATCCGTGTCCACTCTCAAACTCACCATAGATAAACTTGGCCCTACCGTCCAAGTCGATGGCCTTGTGAATCTGAAAAACCTTCGGATAGAGTCATCGGATCTAAATTCCCTCTTGAGGCTGTTTTCAGAGAGTCGAGATGTCAGGACACTAGATCTTGAGCTACCTGCTTCTGCAGGCCGCAGTGAGCTTTACGAAGCGGTGGAGCCTGAGCTGTTTTCAAGAGCCACCGAAGTGAAGCTGTCGCCGAGGTTTTCATATGAACTGATGAGGCGCATTGTGTTCTCCATGACCAGTTATGACTGCCGAAGCTGTCTGAGGAAACTTCTGGTTCATATGCCGCCATCCATCCTTACTGCTTGCCCGTTCATACCCTTGATCAACAACTGCGTGCCGTTGTGCGAGGTGACTGTTCTTTTCCATGCGGATTCCAGTGATGCCACTCGCCAAGCTGCTGCATCCTCTTGGCCGCTGCGTTTTCCAGACATCACTTGGCAATGGGGTACTTGGCAGTAATCCTGTATAGATACTTCGTTTCAAGATGATCAAGAGTCACAGAACTAGAAGTGTCTGAAACTGGGTTTGGTCATGGCACATTTGTTGATGGCCTAAAAATGCCTAATGTGTGCATATGTATGTTATGGTAGAAATTACTCCCTCCGTTCCGAATTACTTGTCGCAAGTATAGATGTATCTAGATGTATTTTAGTTCTAGATACATCAATTTCTGCAACGAGTAATTTGAAACGGAGGAAGTAGAAACCATGGATATGCTTATGTACTGGGCCTGTTTGGCACCACTGTGTACAGATGTTCCAAGATAAGGAAATATATATAGTTTCTGGGTGCTAGCTTATGGAACAGAAACAAAAATGATCGGTATCATGCTTTGTCCTAACCAAAACCATACATATTTGCACTTTGACCCTAAATCAGCTGCTAAGCTGGTGCGAGGTTAAGGTACGCTACTACTGTTACTTCCAAAATTCCTGTTACTTCCAAAATTCCATAGCAGGCTCTGGTGTGCCGGTTTTCTCACAGCCGGAGGTGGAGGCACTAGTTGTGGCTTATCATTTGGTGCACCACTTAATGATTCTTTTGATTTCGATCGTTCACACGACATAGGTCATGGAGAAGATCCCAGGCAACTCATCAAAACATGAAAGCCAGTTAGACAATAAATTCCTGATTGTCACTAGTTACCTGTTGATATCAAGCAATATAGCTCAAGATGCTTGATTGATGCTGGTTCTTTTCTGAATTGTTTTGTAGGCAAGTGTAACCCATGTATGCAAGGATACATTTGGTCCATGTCCCATGTAGCCCTACCAAATCAAATGTGGGCCAGAATTGTTCTTTTTTTTTATCAAGCAATCCTTCATCCTCACTTGACCAACTATTTGGTGAGAATATGTGAGAGGGATGAGTAAATACGTAAATGCTAAATGAAACTTGGGCTCCAATGTTAAACAATTAAAAAAATCATACTTTTTGTTTCAAAAAAAATCCGAAAACACATATACCCAGATATGTAATGTACATGTGTGTAAGTTACTAAGTTTTAATGATGAAATAAGTTAAAACGAGGGCTACAAAAAAAAACCAAAAAAATATGTGACCTTTAGCACATGCATTGTTCATTCTCAAAGTTCACGGTTTTGTTTCTCAGTGTGCACAACTTGCAATTCAGGGTTTTTCATCATGAAATTTACACATATAACTACCTCCGTCCGGGTTTATTATGCCTCCTCTCAGTTTGGGTGAAAATTTGACCATAATTTTAACTAACACTCCGTAAAATGTAAACGGTATACCATAAAAACTATACTATAAAAGCTCTTTCAAATACAAATCCCTCAGTATATTTTATGTATCATATAATTTATATCGTGTTAGTTTTAGAGATGATCAAAGTTTGCCCCAAAATACGAAGGGGCACAATAAACCCTGACGGAGGTAGGACATTACATCCTACATACATTCATATTGTTAATGGATTGAATACGCGCCTCCTCCCCAAAAGAAGTTTAGGGTCCCTCCGCCTCCTGCCGGTGCCGCCTTCGGTCCGCCTCGTCTCCGGTTGCCTTAGGGCCATGTGGGCATGGTGGATCCAACCCTTATGGGCGGGAGGGCTCCATTTTTTAGATGTTTCTTCAAGTTTTGTTAGGGTTTGTATCCTGCTCAGGAAAGCGAGACAACGGCGGCTCCCTGGAGATGGAATAAAGCTCTCCCCGCCCAGCCCTCGTCTCGGTGGTGCGTCTAGAATCATCAGTGGGCGTGTGGATGTGTGTCTCCGGCGGATCTATTTTTGATGAATTTGCTCATATCTGGTCATCGTTTGTCTACACTCGTGTGTCTCCGGTTTGGATCCTTCCGATCTACGCTACTCTTCATCGACGATAGTTGCTGTTTGGTGTGCTGGTTCTATGGGGCCTTAGCACAACGACTTCCTAATTGTCTATTGTAACAAATTTTTCCCGGCTCTGGTGAGAGGGGGATGATGTTGGCAGCGTGTCTTCGGCTTGCTTCAGTGCTTGTAGTCGTCGCTAGATGGTCTACAAATTTATGTGTATTTTCTATTATTTCTGGTGTTCGTTGTACCACCATGATCGAGGATGAATGGATTGGAAGTTTATTGATAAAAGAAAAAGCTTCATAGAGCCCGTCCTCGCCTTACTCCTCATCTGTAACCATTTTTTTTAACACATACGGAAAGAACAAAAATATGATGGAAAACCATTTTTCTTCGAGGTTTGTTTGGGTGGGACGCCTGGCATCCCACGTGGTGGGTCATTGCGGTCTCCTTTCTCCCCCAATCCCACTGAACAGCAGCCGGGATCGTTTCATCTCTGCAATGGCGACCAAGGCCGGCGGCCCTAGCTTGTCTTCTCTTCGTCGGCGCTAGGGGGCGTTCGGATCTTCGCGCCCGTCGCCCTTGTTAGGAGCCTAGGCGTCGTCGTCGCTCGGTCTCTGGGCTTTCCGCCAACGCCGAATCTTCTCCGGCTGCTAGGTTTCCGTCCATCTGGTGCCTCTGTCAACGAAACCTCCTTCAGCTCCCCCCTTCTCCCGGCCGTGAGTTGGTAAACGCATTCACCCATTCACAGTCATCGGTTCCTCTTTCGGTTCACCATTATTTGTTTCGATCTTGACTGTGAGCCAAATGCCCCATCAATGCAGTGCATATTAGGTGTTTCAAAAGCCAGACATTTCACAGCTTTTACCAAGTTTCTAGAATAAAGCCTAAAATGCTAAATAAGTAAAATAAAAAAAAATACACTTTAAGATGAATCTAATGGTCCTAATCTTGTATTGTCGATGTCGATTTTTTTGTTCTATGAAGCTGTCAAACATAAACATGTTTGATTTACGAATACTAATACGCATTACATTGTGGAACGGAGGGAGAGTAGTTGTGGTTCGTTTAATCAAGTGGAACCTCGTTAGCATCTCAGTAGCAGTAGCTTTCTTACCATCCCTTTTTGGGATTGTGCAGGAATTTTACTCGTTTAAGCAACTTGTGTTTGTTCCCCTATTTCCCGGCTGTCGATCTGAAGCAATTTAAGAAACTATGCAATTACCCAGGTTACATTGGGTAGTATTTCGTCATGTTTCAGCACAATTTTTTATCTTCATACATCGGTTAAGTAATTTGTGTATCACTCGTTAATTGCTTATCCTTGCCTACGACTGAAAATGTGTCTGTAGTTCTATGTAATAATTTTGTTAAAATTATTTTAAAAATTAAATTTTGTGGGCTGTAACTATTTCGATATCTGTTGCGTATCAACTGACTGTATGTTTGTGACTCAAAACTGACAAGGATAGAGACCGGAGACCCCAAGACATGCATGCAGAGTTTTAGCTGTAAAGTTATCTGTGCTTGCCATGCTAATCTAGAAAAAAGTGGATTAAAAGGGAGAAGTTCCCTCCCTTAACCGTACATTATTTAGGTAGAAATGAGACCTCTGCGGATCGAACGTGGGTAGGCGAGCTATCGGGTTCACTTTTCTTTTCGTTTGATTGCTAATGCTAATCTAGGTTTATAATCCTCGTTTTACCTTCTTTCACAGCTTCTTGCTTCACTTTGTTATCGTCTGATTTCTTTCCTTTTTATGTAATATTTGCGTCCATCATTTAGTTCCAGATCTACTCCATATGGCGAAGATGCCGTCACAGACGACTGAAGTTGATGCTGCGGTGCAGAGTTCTGTTGAACATGCAGTTGGAAAGGTTACCTCGGCCGCAAAGTCCATGGAGCCAAATTCGTCAAGCCCCCAAGCGGAAACCTCCAATTCTTCTACTCATGTTAGTCTTATATTCGGAACATTTTCAGTGGCCATCTTTTAATGCTTGTGGTCCCAAGTTTTTGGCCAATCAGTTGTGTAGGGTTGAGTTCAACATTTTTCTTATATATATTTCTTATACTTCTTTTTCTTATTTAACCAGGTGCATTCTATTATCAATTCTATCGTAGAAAAGCATCGTGCTATCTTGGCTGAAGAATTTGAATTGATTCAACAGAAACGTTTATCCTTAATGGCAGCCGACATTTCTGACGCTATTTCATCGCTCGTGCGCAACTGCCAGACTGATGTGGATGCTTCTTCCCGTCAAGTTCGAGACCAGCTACATCCTGTTGGTACAACTGAATATCAAGTTCCACGTCCTGATCAAGCTCCTGTCGATCTGGTCCGAGATCAGCAGAATCCTGCTGTTGCATCTGAAGGTCAGGTTCCAGAGGTTGTTCTAAATTCAATGGATGCTAAAGAAAGTCAAGCCAGAGTGTCGGATGATAATGTACATGTCTCTCCTGTTCTAAATTCAAAGGATGCTCAGGACACTCAAGTGAACGAGAATGTTGGCACCGAGGGTCTAGTCTCGGGTGATATCGCACGTGTCTCTCCTGATCCTATTGAAGATCAGTCTCCCAACTTTTCAAGAGGCATATGTGCTACTATCAGCGATGATCCTTCTCACTCGGAGAATGTTGCCGCTCCAACACCTACTGATGCTAATCTCATTGGTGGATCGTTTGTAACACGAACCGTTGATAGAAACTCAAAACGGAAACATGATGAAACGGGAAACGGAAATGATGGGAAATGGAAAAGAAAAAAGAAAAGAAGCTGTTCAGCAATCCCACTTTGCAAACCTTCATCTGATCCCACCCTATCCGATACCTCCATGGCCCACATGTCAGAGGCTGGCGACCCGTTCGAATTTCTCCCGCTATCAATCCTCGCCGACATCCTCGGCCGCGTCGCTCATACCAGAGACATCGCATCGTGCCGCCTTGCCTCGCGCGAGCTCCTCGCTGCGGCTTACCAGTGCCCCCGCATCCGCCTTGACGCCTCTGGCCGCGCACCCGGTCTTCGGAAGGGTGGGGGAGGGGTCGAGGGCACCGCCTTCCACACACTCGCTGGAAACCTCGCGTCACGCCTCGGGTCGCACCTCCGCTCCCTTGTGATCATTGCGTCCGAAGGGCAGGGTTGCCCCGATGAAGCGACGTGGGTGGA